CCCAACTTTTTTTTTTTTTTTTTTTTTAACATGGTAGATACATTCCTTAGAAAATCGTTAAAAAAATAATGTAAAAAAAAATACATGCAACAATTTTGGGGATATATTCCACAATTTAAAAAAATTGCACAAGATGAAAAAACTAAATATTTTCTCAAAAAAAAAAAGGTGCAAAAAAGTAATGACAAAATCCATATATCATATTTATAAAAAATAATTCATTTTTATTACAAAAAAAATTTAAATTGGTGTACAGCGAAAATTCAGTCAATAAGCACATATAAAAATTTTAATTGAAATTAGGAATAAAAGTCAATTTTGCAACTATTCATTGCTACTTGACAACAAGTGTGTATGTTTATTATGAACTGAATCAAAAATGCTATCATCAGTAGATATGTGATATGTCTAGCAGAAGTGTTGGGTTCATTACTCCATGTCAGGATCATGAGAAAGAAAATGTTGTTCCATACTTGTAGCAAATTTCAAGTCCTTGTAAACTAAATCAGCCGTTAATAGCTGAACAAACACTGAATAACAAAATTCTGTGTTCAAGTTGAAGTATAATAAAATAAAGAAAATAATAATAAAGTTCAGATATTCCCTATAACCACAGGAATACAAAATAAACAAGCCATGTAGTCAAAACAAACTCTGATGAATTCGACCAAGTCACTGACGCATGTATGGGCATAAACTGACAGACTTCTGATCGCACTGTTAAAATTAGAATTACATTGTTCTTATTGGTGAACCTGTATTATTGCAAAACCGTGTAAAAAAGGAGTTCAGTGTATGCATATATATATGTTGCTAGCAAAGTTTGAAACTCGGCATTGCATTTAACGTCTAAAATTAGTGGGGAATGTATGAAACGATTCATATTTCACACATTTCCTAGACATTCTATAGAATGCCAAATGAGAAACTGGAAAAGTATGAAATACATCTCCGATTTGTTTCAAATATCACATGGCAAAGGACGTGACCTTTAATGCGCATCTCAGGCTCTGAATATGTGAGATGTACTTTGCAGTTTGTTCAAGAGTGTCAGAATATGCAATTTTACTTAAATTTGTTCAACAAAAAATTAGTTTTTTACTGTGCTGCATGAAAATGGAGGAACACGCTGTAGTGTTGGAGAAGAAGTTGCGGTCAATAAAAACGAAACAACGATTCGAAGATGAAGTGTCTGAAATTCGAGTTAATGGTGCAAAAAAAACTTTTTTTTTTTTTTTTCCTTAACCGAAGCTACTTATCAGAAGTTAATAAATGATGTACAAAGATCCATAATGACTACTAAGAAGGAACCCAGGGACTATTGGTTGCTGAATCACTATGATATGATGATTGTGGAAAACCAAAGTAAAATCATCTATCATCAAGTAAAATCATTTATCAAGTATCATCATTTATCCTGTTAAAGAAGGCGTCAACACTATACCGTATTATGTCACGGACTCTGAGTTATTTAACATACTTCAGAAAGCTCATTTGGCTATTGGACATTGAAGACATGATAGAATGTTGAAAGAACTTTCAAATAAATAAAAAAACGTTACACATCATGATATTGAACTGTACATCTACCTTTGTGAACGTTGCCAGACAGCCAGATAGAGAATACAAATTTATTATTTGTGTACCAAGATTATCTCACAAAATTTGTGATTTTAAAGTCTCTAACGTCAAAAAGAGCTGAAGAAATAGACTACAACATAGTGGATATATTCTCGTTGCTTGGGGCGCCATCTATATTAGAGTCTGACAATGATAGGGAATTTTCCAAAAATGTGGTGACCAGCTTGAAGGTGGTTGGGCAAGCACTGAAGATCGTCCATGGGAAACCTCGGCATTCACAAAGTCAGGGTAGTGTGGAAAGAGCTAATCAAGATATTGAAAATATGCTCTGTACTTGGTTGCAGGATAACTAATCTGACCGCTGGAGAGAAGGACTGAGTTTCGCTCAATTTATGAAAAATCCTTCTGGGATTAAAAGAGCGTCATATGAAGCTCTTTTTGACTGCAAACCTCGCAACATTGTAAGTAGGGCTTACGATGTCTTTTGTACCCAAAAATCTTTTAAAAGACATAAATATAGAGCAGCAGCTAGAAAAAGTAATAGAAAGTGTCCAAACAACTTGAAAAGGTGAAACTAATCAAATTATACGAAAAAAAGAGCCTGTTTAAAAAAAACAAGGATGAGATTATAGTCAAAAGTAGATTAAACAACATGATGAAGACATGTTTACTGAAAAGATTTCCATTTCTGATACATGTTGTTGTGTTTAAAAGAAATGAGTGATGCACTTACATGCAAAAAAGTGTAAGAAAATTTATACCTCCTGTGGCTATGCTAATAAAGATGATGAAATAGATATTTTGTGCATCCTTTGTTTCAAAACTTAAAATGCTATTGAAGGTAAACAGTATGGAAATACAAGCAAAAAGAAAAGAAAAAAAAAAAAAAATTTGAACATGGGAAAATAATTTTCCACTGCTTTTTTGGAAACTACTGTGCGAGTTCCTATTTCTGACATCGAAAAGGAGGGAGGTAATTCGCACAATATATTGGTAGTTATAATGAGTGTGACAGAGGATGGTTTCTACCGACTTGGAACTTCTGAAGAAATTTTAAAGTGAGTATATGCGAGATCACAATTCCCTTTATGCCCTAAGAACTTGCTTAGAATTGAAGATATTCCTGACCACAAAATTCCTCTCCAGTCACTTGCAGTTGCTCAGTCCAGTGGAAGCGGCCAAGGATTCGTCAAATGTAAAAGTGCCAAAATATGAAATGTCTTTCCATGAAAAACGTAATGAAATTAATTCAAAATGTCATTCACGCCTAGCATGTTGCAACAAGTAGATTATTTTAATTTCTTATCTTTTATATGAAAATTTTGTTTCCCTTAATAAGAAAGGCATAAATTTTGTTCTGTACAACTTTAATTTTACTTTTTTGAAAAAAAATTTTTAATGGCACTCTCATTATTTTTTCAAAATAACATTTGTACTTTTGGGGAATGCATATCATTTGAGTAATGCATGTATAGTCCTTATCAGGACCTTTTTTCATACTTTGCCTAAATAGCATTTGTCATTCCATAGAATGCAATAATTCTCATATTTCATACTTTGCCTGAAAACATCTGACATTATATACAATGCCTAAGCATTCTATAGAATTCCGGCATTTCATACTTTGCCTGTAATATATATACACACATTTCTGAATTCGGTTCCAATAACAGGAAAAATGTTTAAGCATAGAAGAATATTTGTATCTTTACACCTGGGAACACAATTTATGCTTACTTTTATTCTGCAAACCTTTATTGCAGCATCACATGTATTTCTATTGTTCCTATTCTTATCTATAGAATGTAATAGCAATCTGTTTTCACTTACAAAAACATCACAGAATTGCAGAGACATGGCTTTTCGCAACTTAAGCAATAGTGCCTATTTAGGAAATGCATTTCCTCGTTGTTCTCTTTAGAAAATATTCAGCAAAATTCTGTAGTCCTGGAGAAATTTTACCGAGATTCCTTCCATTGCTGGCAAATTACAGAAGTCCGTATTTTAAAACTAAGGCAAAAAATATCACTGGAACTAGGAATACAACAAAAAGAAATGCATATAAAAATGGCAGTTTTCGCTTCACTGAAGGATTGTTATAAGCATGGTTGTGCACATAGTTGACAAGTTTGGCACATTCTGAATTTTTGGCAACTTCAACTAAGATGGTTGCACCACTACTTTATTTCATGTACACATGGAGCAGAAAGAAATATGCGATTTTAACAGTTAAAAGTAAAAATTTATAATGCAAGTCTAATTTTCTCTTCTCTGGCATCTTCTTTTCTAATCAGCAAGACAAACTATGTTGCCATCAACGATTAGATACTCGCACAGAATAGCTTAATGAAACTGCTATGGTATCAGTTTGATACAGGTCTCTTATTCACTGCTATACCTTTAAGTAGATCTTACCACTATCTTATGGTTGATATCTGTACATATTTTCTACCATTCCTTCCAGCAATATGATGAAAAGTTCTGTAGCAATTAGTTCTGGCTATCAGCGGGAATTCTATCTTATATCAAAGATGTTTGGCTTAATTGAGATCAGGGCTCTGCATGAGCCAGTTAAGTTCATTTAATCTAAGACCTCAAAATGTTTAGTTAGGCTTTTGAAGAAGGAAAGATCAGATTCAAAATAAGGACAAATTTCCAAATTGTTTTCTTAGGACAAAGGGCAAAATATTCTCTAATATCATCTCATAGCCTTTGTTTGACATTGATTTCAAGGCATAAAAGCCAATGGCCAAGACTAAACAAACCCGGCAGTTGATCTTTAGTTTAGAGATCATTATGTTAGCAAAGTTATGTTCTGTAGCTTGCACAAGGATTTTAAGAGCAAATATCTGTTGATAAATGATATAATACTGACATTACTCCAGATGTCAACTCGGAATCTGCATAACATTTTCTGGCGATGCTTCCCAGTTTTACCATACATTTGAGGTTTTGACAGTCTGGATCTGTAAATGTTTGGTTTACATCATCGGGGAAGGGGTTTTATAAATATTTCGTATTTCTAACTAATCACTAAATCTCAAGGATAGAATGAATAAATCAAAGGGCACTTATAATCATCTCTTTCAGCCTCACCAAGCTCCCCTCTTACGTGCATTTTGAAACCATAACTAGTATATATTTCTACTGGGCACTCATAGTTTTCTTTCAAGAGGTATCATTAATGGCAATACAGTAAATGCTAACTCTACCATAAAGCATTCTGTTTTCAGTAGATTTAAGAATATGCTACATTAGTCTTAATATTTAGTATCAATAACAGCCAATTTTAGAATTGGCTAATAACAACCTAGAAAAATTATTAGTATAAAAAGGATTAAAATATACATCATAAGATTAGGTTATAGATTAAATCAAGGAATCACACTTGAGATAAACAAATTAAAAGTAAGATTTACCCATATCCTTCTTAGGGCTGTTAGAAGACTTGGTTAAACTCTTATTCATGGTCATGTTCATTATAGTCGAAGTATTGCCAGAAGTACTGAGAGATATATCCGATGCTGATGCCTCCATTGCCTTCCTCTGCCATCTTGGCACAGGTCCTCGCTTCAAAGGAACATCGAGTCTCAAAGCATTACTCAGTTCATTTTCAAGATTAAAATGTGCCATGATATATTTATCTAATAATAATAAAATTAAAAAAATTCAATACATCAATTATTTATTCAACTGGAAAATATCGAGATTTTTTTTCAACACTACTAAATAAATTTCTATTAAACAACATTGACATTAGCTTGATACTCCTCCCCTTCCATTATGCGAAGGCTTTTGCCATTCATAATGTTTTAATTATTTTTCTTAACTAAATTCCCTGTTTATTGCATTACCCATTAAAAGTGAAAATAAGATTTTCGTAGGTTTGATATTTTATTCATTTTAAACTTGTAGCGATTATTATATACTTAACACTTTTTACAGCTTAACTACAAAGTAATTCCCTTAATCACAGCTGAAATATGCAATCTGTGCTTGACCTTAAACACTGGGGTTCTGAAAAGCAAAGACTAACCAGCAGTAATATGTCAATATTCATGAGTTTTAACATCCCCACAATATGAGTTTGGTTAACTTACCAAACCTATACAATGGCCGTTTCATGGCCTGGTTGACATGAATGGCCACCACAGTTGCTACATTACAAGATTGTTATTAACATACTCTGTAATCCGGGTTTTTTTTTTTTTTTTTTTTTTTTTTTTTGAGGGGGGGAGCACAGATTGGAGAATTCGGAAAAACGTATAAAGCATATTTTTACAAAGCACATTCATGCATTACTATAAAAGAAGGAAAAAATTAGGTGGACTAGTCGTTGCACTCTCATGAGCTCTGTCATGGCAATGCAACGTGAAAGCTATGATTGTTTTTTGAAAAAGCTGCAATTTTAAATGTAATAAATGTAATATAGATGTGAGTAGAAGTTGAAAATAATTTTAAAAAAATTTTATTATATTGAATTGGAAGAGAAACATGCCAAAGTAAAGTTTATAATTAGGTAAAAAATCAACCTGAAATTAGCAGAAATTTTAAATAAACTATCGATTTCAAGGGTAATCAGTCTGAAGTTCTTTAGCAGCAGGGAAAAAATAATTGCCATTATACGTTTAAAACTATGCAAATCTAAGGTTGCTTTTTGCCAGACTTTAAAAATCTGTTTTTATGGTTATCTTAAAAGGAGTTGTAGAATTCTCTCAGTTAGTACACAAACAAAGAAATTATTATACATAAATACATAGTTGCTCTCCCCCCCCCAAAATAAACCAACAAGTTTTAAGAAAACAGAATTATGTTAAAAGAATAGCACATTTTATCTATTATTTTAAAATTGCAAGTAAATGCATACAGCAGTAAACATTGTCCATTGTCTCTTCCAAATTATAGCTACCTTAAACACAGTTAATTTTAAGTGCTGGTTCTTCAAATTAAAAACTCTGATTTCTATGTTGTGAATTGAGTCTCTGTGATTAGTGTCAACAAGACTACGCCATCACTTCTTACTTCCTGTTTCTGGGAGAAAAGCTCTGTAAGACAGTTCTTACTTCCTGTTTCTAGGAGAAAAGCTCTGTAAGATAGGCCTTCTCTTCTAAGTCCTGGCCTTTCTGATCACTTCCTTTCAATTCAAGAGGTCTTAGAATTTGCAATGTTTTTCTAGATTTGATACTGTTTGGCATGTTATTACTTTCTTCCCTATCACTTTCACTGCCAGTTTCTGCAGCAGTTTAAAATTGTCTATAACATCATAGACAGTTATCTCGCATGTTATCTTAATAGTGTTATCAACTGCAAAGTATTCTAAAAACGCATCTCTATAACTTCCCTCAATGAAGTTTAAAATGTTGGCAATTTCCCAAGGCCTCATTCAAATGAAAATCGTGTTTTTGAAAGCAGTACTTATATGTGCTTTGAAAAAACAAACCGGCTTTAATATGCATATCCTCCAGTAAAAATATAAATTTAGTTATCTCCTTTGAATTGTTTGTATTTTTGCAAATTCAGTTTTGCTTACCTTTTTTTTTCCCCCCTTTTTTGGAGTGATATTTTTCTGTAATAACACTTCAAAGTTTTTATATTACTTTGGTCTAAAGGCTGAACAATAAAATTTATACTTGCAGAAAAAATTCTGGTACTTTCAGAACAAGATCAAATGAGTGTGCAGAACAGTTTCTAATAGCAAAGGTATTTCTTTATTTTTTTATTTCGCTGTTTTATTTCAAATGAAAATCAACAAAAAATACTACTTTTCATCCACAAGTTCTTGTTGTCATGTTAAGTTATGCGTAATTATTTTCTTCTTTCAAACATTATTTATAAGATTTATTTTGTAGCTGATTGTATTTATCCAAAATGTACGCACCTACACACTTACAAATAACGGCCAGTTTTTCTTCAAATATTTTTTAAACAAAGAACAACATTTTTCTTGAGGAAGAGAAATAACAATGAAGCACATCAAATATGTTTAGCTATCTATTATACAGTTTCTGAACAATAATTTATGATTGGCCAGTAAATAAACATTTAAATTTTTATTTAAAATGAGGCAAAAATGACATATTTATCAAAATGAAGGAATAGCAGGAAAATGCCATAAAAGGGTATACTGTTCTATTCAAAATGGTATTTAGTAATTATGCTGTACTAAGCTTCACATTTTCATCTTACATATTATAAACTAGCAATAGTATATTCTTTCACAGACAATTTTATTGCAAAGAGGAAAAACAGTTAAAAAATGTAATGTGTTAAAAAATGTAATACAAAAAGAAAAAGAGGAAACATTTTTATCCAGTTGATCCACCACCAAAGTATTTAGCATTGAACAATTAAAAAAAAAAAAAAAAAAAAAAAAAAAAAAACAGGGAATGCTTTGACATGAATAATTCATATTTCATTACAAACTAAAAAATACTGCTTGATAATGCAATACAACAGATAGATGAAGCTATTTTGCAAACTATAATTAAGATCCATTTCATGTTAGGTACATAACAAAAGCACAGGAATAAGACATTTGTGCAAAATTTCATGGAAAATCTTGAAACTTCTACTGGCTTAACCCACGAGCGTGGTCGCTAGGTCCGATAGACCCGTCCGATTAAACAAACCTTTCTCAAGGTATGCCTATTTCACCCAAGTTGTTCAAGTCCAGTGTAGTCATGTCTGAGGTCACCTGCTTTATGTTTCCAAAGTTTTTTCACTGGGGCTTTGATTTGGATACTCGTTTTTGATCGGATCGGGTCTTTTAAACCCAGCGCGCCTATTCATATTGCTGTTACATACTTGATTTGTGACAGTATAGAAAGCGGCAAACATGTTGCGTAATTTATCATACAAGGAAGAAATGTTGCAAAAGTTATTAGATGTATCACATAGCGAAGAATCTATTGAAAAAAATGAAGATGGAAGTAATTATAAATTTTTAGTTCATATCATACTGATTCAAAAAATGATAGATTTGTACATATAGATACAGATTCTGAAAAGAAGAGTGAAAAGGACATAAATTGCTTTAATGGAGAAAAAAGTATCAGTAATGAAAAAAAAAAAAAAAAAAAAAGGGAAAAAGTATAGAAATAAAAATTATGCACTGTTTGCCTAGCAAAAAACCACCAAAAAAATTCAAACAGGCTGTGCAAAATAAGAAAAATATTGGTATTTGGAACTTGCTCAATGTGCTGCTGACATTTATTGTTGCATTTTCTCTCTGTGTCTAGAGTGTTAATAAACAAAATAAAATGTTGATACAGAGTAAAGGTATAATAATTTTTTTCCTACGCAAATATGTATAATTTTCTATTTCTCTAAGAATTTTATTTCATAAACATTTGGAGAAATTAAAAATTTTAATGAGCATACTTTTTAAGTATGATCATAAAATTTATTACTGGCATAAACACAGCACTTATTCTGAAGATTTACAAATTTTGCTTCAAAAAATATGAACTGGGTCTTTTCGACCCAGTGCGTGTGCTCGTGTAACTCGTATAAGTGTGCGTGCTCCCGGGTTAAGAAAGAAAGCAGACATAGTATTTGGTATACTTTTTGTGGACCAACAGATCTATCTGCACTTTCACACTCTATGATAAAATAATAAATACAATAACAGGCCAAAGAAGTATTAATTTAGAAGTCAAACAACAAAAATCAGAGTTATATTTTCAAATTTTCACAGGACAAGTTCCGATGGTTTTACCTAACCATCATCCTCAGCTGCAAAAGCGCATATAAATGAGCTAAGATATAGGGAATAGATAAGGTAAGAAAGACTGTACAAGAGTTAAACTACTGCCGCCATCTGTTGATGAAACGAAAACTAAACGTAATTTCCTTAAAGGCTGAAGGCAAAGATGGATTGGAAATAGGGTCGTTAACTAGAACAAAAAGATTTTTTTGAATGTGAAATGCCTTTAAAAAATCCAACTCAGCAATGGAATATGTTTTTTGAATAATTTTGGCTGCAGAAAAATTGAAAGTGTGATTTTTGGACCAACAATGCTGGGCAACAGAAGACTTCCGTGTTTCCTTTTTTCTAACATATGCCTCATGTTCCTTAATGTGAAATTTTAAGGCTCTCTTAGTTTGACCAATGTAAATTAAACCACACTGGCAAGGAATCCATATACGGAATGGTGTCCTTGAAAATGGAACTCGGAATTTTATTGATGGGAGTATAAATGACTCAAAAGTTAAATTTCTGTAAAATATATGCAATTTTATAGCTAACTGAGGGAAAGAAGGGAATGATAACAGAATTCTTATATTCTCCTAAAACAAGATTGTGCTTTTGGTGTGTTGAGATGAGAATTTTTTAACAGCTTGATTAACCTCTTAACTGTTGCGGAAAACGTACAAGATTCATTTCCCAGTGCCACGGTTTTTCACACAGGCGCGCGTGGTTATGCAATGTATTAGGGGAAAAATAAGTACAAGTTTTACTTTCTAAAAACTGTTTACTTTCACAAATAAAAAATAAAAGAAAAAAATGAATACACAAAATTTAATGTTTTGAGTAAAAGTATAATAAAAAAGATGTAAGTATAATAAAAATGATTTTTTTATAATAAAAAAGATCCTCAAAATGAAATTTCGATCAATTCATTTTTAGACCAGTAAAGTGTAA